ATAGCATCGGCTAAAGAAAAGCATTAGTTAGTCCATAGTCACTTAGAGAAGGTATCTGGAGTTTCAAATACCATGATCCATCTGTCTAACTTCTTCACAAGAGCGATTTCCTTGGGATCAGTCTTCTCCTGAGCCCCAGAGTAGTCGATCTTGCCCGTGTTCCTTGGAATGGGCTTCTCTGGGTTCTCGTCCTCAAAGATTTGGGGCTCCATATCCTTGACTCTGTCGGCTTCATTATTAGCCGCGGTATTGGTTTTGGAGGTCATGATTCCGGCTCTTGCTTTGGCAATTTCTTCTCGGAAGTCCAGACGAGCAACAAAAGAAGTGAGGAGGAAGATATTGAGACTGATGTTAGCAATGCTAAGCTGATTGCACTCTGTCTAGCGAGATTCATTTTCCATTTCCCCACGGGGTCTGGAGCTCTTATGTATTCGTACAAGGCGGGGATGCCCAGACCTTACCCTGGTGGGATGACCTCCAGCCTCCGTCCACGTTGTGCTCCCATGTCGTGCCCGCGATCGACTAGGGGCATGGGCTCGGCGAGTCTTGGGTTGCTTACACCCACACATGTTCATCACGAAATCTCACCGATTTTGTTTCTGCCAAGTCACGCCCGACATGTTCCGAACACCAACGACCACCCCCTAGTCATTCCCAAGAAGGAGAAGACTTGCCCAGGCGGGTGGCCAGCGATCCTGGAAGCGCGCACAACTTGAGCTGGTGGTGTACGCTCCTAGCTAGCTGCTATTATAAGCGTTGACAGGAGTCACGACGAATCACTTTGTGCTACAGAAGAAAGTTACCAAGAAATACCAAGCTTGGGGAATGTGACATTGCCTTCCTTCTACCCTTGACTGCCCATGTGTCTTGGCAAGTAGTAGCGTGCCTCTCCTCAGTTGCCTCGTGTTATTTTGTTTGCAAAGTAGTGACATAGACTGCCGAGCGAGGGATGAAAATCACCGGAGGCATGGCTTTTGAGAATGAACGTGGTGGGCCTAATTCTTGGCTCTGCGACTTGATGACTCGTCCCGAGTTGACGACATTACGTTGCTCGTATAGTGATGCGAGTTAGAAAGGGTGATAGGCAAGACTCCCATACCAGTGCCTCACCTCGGCCGCCACATTCACTTAAGGACGCCCGCACCCGGTCAAGTCGGGGTGGGCTGTGCATGTGTCTCCGTCCGGGGAAGTGGGAGGTCAGTTTCTGACCTGGGGAAAGTGGGCGCAATCAGTGTCGCGCTAACTCAGCTTTCCCCGCGTTCCTCTTCGCTGGATTGCTTCAGTGCAGGTTGGGCATGGTGGCGTGAGTTCTTTGGGGGAGGGGATCAGGTTCCTGGGTCGAACGACGCAGCTTAAGGTTGGTCGTAGAAGAAGGTGGGCCAACCTGACGATGGTTCCCTGCGTTCTAGAATCCAAACCTCCGCCAACAAGCGCTGCCGAGAGTGAAATGCGCTCAGGGCCAGGGAGACGGCGCAGCGCCAAGTAAGGCCAACAAGTGCCAACCTTGTTTCAAGCCTAGTCGACGGAGCAGGCGAAATGTAATTCACTAATCATTGACTTGCCCCGGACAGGCTCCGGGTGTTTATCTACGGTGGTGTGCTCACGCACGTTCTTGTATCTATGTTTGCGTTGTTTTCCCAACAATGATAGGTCGTGCCAGACGTAGTTCAAGCCCTCATTCTTGGCGAGGGCAGGCAGGTCGGCTGGTTACGATTTGGCTCGGCACTTGCGTGAAGGGGAAAGCTTCGTTTTGGCGCCGCGCACTAGAATACTTGGAGTCAGGCTAGAAGGTTGATTTAGTTGCTTCCTTGATGACGGGGGCGAACCAGTTTGAACGAAGCCTTCCCTGCAGCGCTTCTAGGGCGTCTAGTGCGTTATGATGCGCTGAATACACGACCACTATCACAATCAGAGCGGGCGTAGAAGCTCGCTAAGAAGCTCGTATCACATAGTACATGGGATATTCGAGGCCGCATGCCTCTGTTCAGCGACGTTCAGGTGGAGGATGTCCAGCTTATGTCTGCAAGACGTTGGAGTGACGATATCCGCGGTACCAGTCGAGCAATGCTAATGTTCATGTCCGCTGTCTTCGATGACACCCAATGGACCAACTATCGGTGGCATCCATGTAGGATCGAGTTGCGAGCATAGCAACGTCCAATGCGAATGCAGAAACGCAGGATCGCAGGTGACCATCCACGAAAGGTAGTCTGACCTGCCCACCCTTGCAGACCTGCTCTGGCGTCAAGCATGAAGGAGGCCCTCGTCGCATTTGTGCGGTCTCAGCTCCATCGGAGTGGGGGCCTCGCAGTGAAATGCTAGAGACAGGACGAACGCCGTGGGGAAGAAGGTCTCATTTGGAGCTTCAAGGGGACAGTACCGGTGGCGCGTCCCCGGAATTGCCCAACACGAGATTGACAGTTGACAAGCGACGCGGCGATGATTCCCCGGATCTCGAGCCCCATAGTGACCCTTACCGGACCCTCTGCTACTTAAACAGTTGGAGTCGAGATAGACTGGTATACTTGTTCGACTCATTCTGGTCGTCGATTCGGGATATCCAGGCGAATTTCCCCAGGGCTGCCAGCTCAGGCCCGATTTAGTGCTTGACTGGCGCGGCGTAGGATTGATTTGTCGGTGACGGCCTATGAGGCATATTCTTCCCCCGGTGTCGTGCTGGTGCACCCCAGGCCCAATCCAAGAACGATCGAATGGATCATCTCTCGACAAGATTGTCTTGGCTGAAAAGTGAAAAAAGGCTATACCCTACTACGGTATGTGTAGCCAAGAGTGCCCAGCGTCAGAAGGCGTAGCTGGGCATGCAGACGCTTGCTCTCGGTGTCTTGGCAAGAGGGGTGCAATCAACACACTGCTGTCCGTAATTACATGTAGGTAGTTGCCCACTAGAAGAACAAGGCCTCACGAGAGCAGATCAAAGTCAGTCAAGAACGGAGGGCCCAAATGTTTTACCAAGTTGAGGGGGAAGCAGACGGAAAAGGTTGAGGTTAATTATATCGCCAGATCTCCCACCCGCGGCACAACTGATTGGAGAGACGCGGTCAAAGCCTGCATGCTCATAGACATGACTTCATGTAGGATGGTCCGGATCATTGGCGTCCTCCCGAGCGAGGTACCCTTAGCCCTAGAACAAGAGACCACCACTTCCCCGCTCATCCCTTGACTACATGTGCATCTTTGGTATGCAAAACGTACGGCTTGCTGGCGAATTGTAAGGGCAACCGGTTGTTTAGCTCTATCAGAAGCTTGAGATCAGGGAATGAATTGTCATGATTCCGCCCCCTCGTCTTCTCCAACTTTACCCCATTCCCACTCTTCCCCCCCGTAGTTGGCGCCAAATGGGGCCGCCAAGGTGATTCTATCCACAAGGGTCGGAAGAAGTTGAGAATTGGTGACGCCGGAGTGAACGCCGTTGGTGGCTGCGGCTGGAATACCGGTCCAACAAACGACTCGGCTGCAGCGCGCCACCATAATGCGATGGATTTCTGGTGTATGTCAGCCAATACCATTGATTCGAATTCTTGAAGCTCCTCTCTCATGTCCCCAAGGGGAAGTCACACGGATTCTGGCTTCTGCGGTGGACTGAAGGGAAACCGCTCGGGGTACCATCGTTCAAGCGGGGGGCGGGCGTGTGCGATGCGATATTTTGTGCTGATATTTGGACTGAACAGTTCGAGCGTCGAATGTACGGATTCGTTTGCCTGCTTTCTGATCATTCTGCTTTCGTTTACTTTGTCTCAGGTATGCACACTCTCAATCGCGTGCTCCTTTGAAAGATAAGGTACCCAAGGGCGTCGAGATACGATCTTGTCAAGCACATCGCTGCTGGTCCTACACAGTATTTGCGCAATATGCATGGTTTAGGCATTGAACGTGATGTATGGACAGACTAGCAAATCCCACAATGTTAAGCAAGTCCAGATTTGTTACGCTGCAGTCTCACATGCCCTCGAGCCGAGATAATTTGTACTATTCAGAAACAGCAAGGGCTGCTGGACCGGCTTGCGAAGAAGGTAGCATCGCTAAACATTCATCCAAGATATCTGATGCCAGAACGAATAGCGAAGCCTTGGAGACAAGCTAATTATAAAATAGTTGTGTGCTGAAAATATGGAAAGGGACTGGGTTGTTTCTTGTCCTGTCTCAAATTTCGACAGAAGTGTATGTCCGGATAGGCAGTTTGCAGCCTCCTCAGGTTGCTGGACTTGATTGGCTGCACCTTTACGTTCGGTTTTTCACGATAGATCTCTTGTTGGTATCGAAATCTCGATGTTTGATAGCCAGAATTCTTAATCAACTTCACGCAACTGCTCATGTATTGTCAATCGCTTCCGCGCTACCTGAGTTAGGCTGAGAGGTCTTGATAGCACAAATGTTCTTTTGGTTCTGCAAGCCCGCCAAGTCAATTGGCATCGGCCAAGAGTCTGCTAGCAAGGGGCTTGAACCTTGTGAACGCCTCCAATTTGGCTTGTTCCGAATTCTTCCGTCCAAGAGGCTTATCATGAGATCTCTTGCCCTAGAGCTTACATGTTGTTGTACCAAAAGCCTTTGGCTCCGCTTCTAGCGAATGCGAGGAAGAATGGAGATCTACCTTACCTTCCCGAATAGAAGAAACGGCTTCTGGCCTGCCTATAATTTTGGATGGAGAGCGTTCCCACAGAAGAGAATAACGCCGTTGTCAATCTGAGGCCGGTATCAGTATGACGGGCGCGAGTCTCCATGCGAGCATCACTTTGAGCAATCTTGCTGTCAGTATCAATTATAGTACCTGACGGGTATGGTCTAGCTTTCAGGGCATTGTATCATAGTTGCAATGCGTCGGTACCGAGCCCATTCGATGCAAGACCGATTGACGAGCGAGTTTATTATCACATACTCCAGCAAAAGTTAGTGAGAAGCTTCTCCTACAACATAAGAAAGCTTGACCTAATGGCCAAATATTGACAATCTAAGTTCTTTTGACAAAAAAGGAAAGTATTCGGTCAAATCAACTTCACCACGCTATCTCTACCATTTTCGACTACATAATCCTCTGTCCTATCGTCATCGCAGGCCAGTATCAGTATCCCGATTCTTTCATACGTCCCGTGGTCTGAATGTACTGAAGAACGATCGCCCTTGGTGTTTCCTTTCTTGCTGTGACCGCTGACGGTGAAAGTGTCTCCATCGTCATCCACCTTTCGAAGCACGAGAGAAAAAGCTTTGGTCGGCATTTTCTTAGTGCCTATGCCGTTCTTGTTCCGAAGTTCGGGCTCTCTGCACAAGTGTAAAAGATAAATGGTGCTGCCAAGCGGCACATAATCTTTACCAGGCGCCCAGAAATTGTAGTCAGGGGCTATTTCCAGTAACGTGCTGCCGTGTAGAGCGAAATAGGTCGGTATAGGAGCGTCGATTTCCCCTTCTTCATCATTCTCTAGGCGTGCTGTGATCATTGGCCCGGATAAAGTTATGTGGCCCGAGATAATCTCCATTGTTGGATCTGCTCCCGCAGACTCCGTTGAAGCTTCGATGACCACTGTTCTTTGCATTTTCGCATTCGCCTCTTCCATGAACTTGGATGCCAATGTCGTACGTAGGTTGGAATAGTGGATTCTTGATGTCACAGATGCCCATGACCACGTCGGAGCTGTCCAAGCGTCCAGTCGAGGGAGAACACTTTGGGTAGCCTGCCAGGCGAGATCGTCAAGCAAGCTGTCTTCCCAGACCCCGGCCAGGTACCTGTCTTTTCTATACCTCTGCATATTTTTTACCACGCCTGCAATGGCTGGGAGGATGTCATCTTGATAAGTGAGCCTCGTTCTTTTGTAATTCTGCACCGTACTGCGCCAATCTGGGTACAGCTCCTTGGCCTCAGTCGCAGATGACAAGTTTCGTACGTGAGCACCCTTGGTATGCGCCCATCTTGGTTCGGTGTCGTATATCGTGGTCTCTCCCATACACTCGCAGGCGCAGACCTCGTTACACTCCCAAGCCATCTCTACATCTCCAAGGTGTAGGATTCGGGGAGACAGTAGACGCTCCTGGAATACCCAGCCACGGTTCAGCAAAGGGAAGTCACCTGGGCTGTAGTTTGGTTCACCAGATGCGTCGGATGAGAAGAAGTGCGGAACGGTGTGTCGCACGTTTGCGTGCCATGTCTTCCCCTTGTCATCGCGATGCTCTACCCTCTTTGCTTTGTACTTGCTATCGCTATGGGCGAAGTAGCTCTGGTGAGGGTTCGAGGATTTCGTTCCCGAAATCGTGACGTGGGCGCCTTGAAAGACTGATGCCATATGAGCTGCCTCTGCTCTCCAATCGTCCTTGTCGTCCTGGATGATACAGAGCGAGTCAATCCAGATGTAGCGGATTCCCAGCTTGCGAGTCAGTCTTACAGCGTCGCGATACCCTTCGGGCAAAGATGACCAAGTGATCCGGTGCATGTAGGAATGATATCGATCTTTGGTCAAGCGGATATCTATGGTGCCTCCCCAACAGTAGCTTAAGCAGACATATCTATCGCAAATCCCTTGGGTCTCGTGAAGTCGAATGTCGCAATCAGTTGTCTCATGCGAACCCTCGACGTGATCGTCGAAAGGCCCTATGTCCAGAACGCGGGTTGGCATTCGCCTGTCACTATCTGTTGTCCTACAGAATGAGTGCTCTGAAATGCAGTGCTGTAGGCGAGCTTGAAACCATCGAAAAGCTGCATCGGAAGATGTGTCTCCGGAGATGTGGTAAGCGAGGCCGATGGAGTCCCACGATGCAGGTTCTTCTATTGCGTCGGAATGAGAGAGGATCTAGGGTGACTTTCTACTCTGGAAGACTGGCTCACCTTGAGTACCGAAGAAGTTAAGTTCGGCAAGAACTTGCTCTCGTAACTGAGTCCAGGGGACAAAGATCTTGCTAAGATCCAAATGGTCGCTCCTGGCAACGATGACACCGTAGGCCCCTTTCATCGTCGCTGATCTTCTTTTCGTTCGGATGAACTGGCGTCCAGCACATCCTGAGTTCCAGGTCTCCATCACAGAGACTCTTGAGCTAATGGCAATGTGCCTTGGTAGACATGCTCGTACACCAGCGCAGATGATGCTGCAAGACAGACACCCAGCTGCGGCCCTCTTTTCGATATCCGTGACAAGAGAGAAAAACCCCTCGTCCATACCTCCACAGGTCATGCAATTCCCAGTCTTGGGGTCACGGTGTATTTCAGCTTTTCGCACCCCTATCTTGGCGAAGAACGTGTCGCATTTTTTCGCCAAGTTAACGGCGACAGTACCAGCTCGGATGAATGGGTTATCTGATTTCCTATTAAAGAAAGAATCGTCCGAGTCACTGTCAGAATCGGCTTGTTGTTGATATTGCAGCCAATCGTTCTCCTCGCGGCTGACATTGTCATCATTAGTGTCGACTTGCAGTGTTAATCCCATTTTCAATCAATGTTGTGTCCAGGTGAGTGAAGGAATAGGACGGGGCTGATGTGCTGAAGATTGTGTGAGAAACACTTCTATTGATATGTACGGCCGACATAGAGCATTGTGATAGTGGCAGCCGAGTGCGAGAAGCTTTCTTTCCATGTCGTAGGACAGAACTTCGCGGGACATAGCGCCAAGACATCAGGCGCGCGCTTCACCCCTGGAATGGCGGTGGCTGAGCGCGAAATAGAAAAGCTGAGATGGCGATCACTGATAATGTCGGTCGCTTCATGGGCCTCAAGTTCAGCTGGAAGGACTCAGGCGAATCAGCAACAGCCACCTTTCACAGACGACTAGCGATTCATGACACAAGCGCGCAGTCAAGAGTCAATTTGACCTGGTTCTTATGTACCACATCCTTTCTGACTGAGGTTCTCGAGGAAGCTTATTCCAGCACGACGATCTAAATTGACAGTGCAACTGACGATAACCACCCAGCGAAGGGTCAAGCGCTTCGTCCAAGGCTCGTTCAGCGCGAAGCAATCAAAATTGTAATTTCCCTACATCCAGGTGGGATCACGTTTGCTATCAAAAAATACCTCATAAACGGAAACATAACACTAAGCAGTCGTCAGTAAATTTTACCCTCAGAAAGGACATCGAGATGCTCTGCCTTGATTTATGTATCAATGATGAGTCCTCGTCGATATCGCTAAGGATATGGTATGTAGGTAGCTTCAACTTGGACACCGCGAGGGGCGAACAAGGGCCAGCCACAATGGGCGCATATTCCGCTCATGAGCAAGAAAAGATAACCATAGGTGACAAAGTAAGTAATCGAGAGGTAAAAACAAAGTCTTACTGAGCCCATCAAAGGCTTGACGTCGGACAAACTCCATCATGCTACTCTCAAGAAGCAGCAACCAACCACGTGCGGTCGGTGGAATTGCGAGTGAGCAGGTCGGTACTTTCTTGAGTCCGGGCCTGTTGCCCGCCGTCGACTGTTGGACGAAGGTCCTAGACCGATCATCCACGTTTCTTTTGGGGCTGTTACCCACTTCGCGCTCCACATGTACCCATTCGCGAGCTTGTTGGACCTTGAGACCTACGACCGCCTGCGTGGCCTTGACCTGACTGAGTGCATGAGAAGACTTTGATGCGTGTTGCAACTTGCGACTCCTATTGTGAAGGTGCGATAGTCTCGAATTCGCCCGCGGCAGGAAGGAATCCAGAATCGGAATGTCGCGTCTGATCGTCTCGTCATCCCATGGGGCATGGAGAGTTCGATCCGGTAGTCTCAAGTTGCGACTTTGAATGCAACGACATGGTACTTCAACCAGGTTCAGACATGCCAGTAATACCCAGAAAACACGTGCTGTCAATTATATCATGCTCACTCGGCACTATAACAGACGCTATTTTAATATGCAAAATTCTCAGGCATGGTTGCAGCGTTGGTCGACGGACGAGTCAGTGTCACCACCTCGGTTTACCTATCCGGCTAGCAGCGCAACCTTGTGCTTCCTCAGTCGGTCCACGCGATAGGCTTTGACCAGGGGTTCGTTTCGAGGAGATGGAGAACGCGTCCTAAAGGAGACCCCTCGTCGGGAGCGAGTCATCTTCCCACGCAATAAGACAGCATATTCTGTGTAGATATCCGCATCAGATGGCGAACTGGAAAAGAAACCATCAACAGAGCCTCCCCACACGGGGCTGAGATTCCCTGCACTGCATCTGCAGCTTCCGGCGGCGGGGGGGGGGGGGGGGTGCACGGAATTGCGAGACGGGGAGACGGCTGGGTGCGCATCAAAAACGTGGTGTCCCCTCGTCTGAGCTGAACGAAATCTCAAGAGACCGAAGAAGCTCGGTCCTTTGCGCTTTGGTTTCTTGCGGAATCGCCATGTACGGATGACGTCGCGGCGCAAGTGACCGTCGTGATGGTATTTCAACTACCGGCCGCTGTCGATGCCGAAGCTGTCGCGGTGATATGCTACTCCTTCATCTGCTTCTTCTCCAATATCCTACTGGGATGGCTGCTTTGGACGCACAATGACCGGACAAGTTGTAGGTTGCGGACCATCTTCTCTCTCCAGTGAATTCTCTTCCAGGATTCCCTGGCGGCCAGTCGCAAATCATCTTACACATTCTTCCTAGATATTGCCTGCATCTCCTACGCTACTCTCATTATCACGACGACGAGTATTTGCCAGCAGTTCTACGACTACGCCTACTGGCGAGACATTCTGACAGAACAATTCTACTATGCGAGACAAAACGCCGATAATGCGGAGGTGCAATACCACAAGGGCTCCCAGGGCATCAAGCTCGTCCTCAGCTACGTTCGTACGTGCATGCTCTTTTTGTCGGGGGTTTCCTTAAGATAGCCCAAGAGCGACCTATCGGCCTTGGTGACTGGCGCCGCTGACTTGATTGACCGGAACAACAGGCATCTTTGGATTCACCATTGCATCAACATTTGTCTTTTTCTTGTAAGCCAGATGCCAAAGAGAAACTCCCCCCCCCCCTCCCCAAACAACAACGAGAGGTATTGCGTTTCTAACACGAAGAAAGTGCCTTATCCTTGGCCGCTAGTGTCTACGGATGGTTCGCGACAACGCCGAGGACAACACACACCATTTCCATTGTCGGAAGAGTCTTGCCCATCATTCTCACCAGTATCACCGTCGGCCTGATGCACTCTCCGCCGGCCCAGAAGTCGTTCCTGGTGTACATGTTTGTTGCCAATACACAATTTGTCCTGAGCCTTTTTGGAAGCGCTGTACTGTTGCTCATGATCCTTTTGAAATACGTCCACTCGCGGCGGAACCTCACAAGTTGGAACGTGCTCTACGGGAACCCGGACATGAACTCTTCGCTGCCTAGCAGCAATAACGGCGGTGGCAGCGTCAAGGCACGGTCCGTCTGGCTGGGCAGTGCCTCAAGCCGCGGTGGACGAAGTCGAGCGTACAGCGGTGCTGGCACCAATAACACATATGACAGTTGGTTGGTGATCCGACTGTCGATCGCCTTCGCAGTGCTCTGGTCAGTCACACCACGTTCGACCGGAAGGCTGCGCACACGAATGTTCTAACCTCACACTGGCACGAACGCTAACAGTTGGACATGTATATGCAGTGTGTTTGAGTACACAAACGTGATACCGCGCATCGCCGCGGCAAGCCACACCATCGACACCGCCGACAACTTGGAGCCCGACCTCAGCGTGAGACGAGCACGTTCCAGTATCAGGGGATACGTTGCCGGCGTGACACCAAGCCTGGTCGCCTTTCTCGTCTTCGGGACGACCAAGACGTTTCAATGCAAGATTCACGACACCTTTATGCCAAAGGGATTCTCGAGGCGGAATAGGCAGAAACGGAACCTGTCCCTCTCTTTGAGAGACTCGGCCGCCGCGTCCCCGCCCCATCCACCAGCTCGGCGCCCGCAGCAAGTAGACGAGTTCTCCCTCGCCGACATGAGCCCAAAGTTCCTGCAAAGCGGCACCTACAGCCCCCAATTTCCGTCTGGTGGCAACGTTAGTCCTAGGCTACCGTACGGATACCATGCAAGCCCTGGATCGAGTCTCGGCACGCCGAGGGGTGTGCTCCCGCCTAAGGCTCACATCAACCATGCTGGACAATTTCTGAGCCAGGGGGTCAGCGCCCCCAATCCACGGACACATAGCGCTAGTTCCAGTCCGAGTCTACAGTCCAAGTTTTCAGTATACGGGCAGCCTGAGGCACGGGTCAAGGCTCTTCGTCAGACACCATACAAATAGGAGCTGGCTGCAGAGTTGGAGGGGCGGAGGGCGGTCAATTTTCTTCAAGCTTTGTAGGCAGTGCGATGGAGTTACGGGCGTTGGGATGGGGACAATATCACGCAGATACCAGGCAAGGCTCTGATGGCTGAACATCAGTAGCAAAGCAATTCATTTCTCCCGCTTTATGACCGCGTGTCCCTCATTGTAGATTTCTTCCAGTCACGGAGCGCGCAAGGTGTTTAATGAACTATACAATGTCTAACGTAGTCTGGTGGACCATTAAGCTGGCTTGAGACAAAGAGTCACCCAGATAGTGGTGGTACGAGGAGAGATATGGGATGGACTATACGTTGCGGCAACTCTCTATAAGCGCTGTGGTGCTAAAGTTGAGTATGCCTTCCAAGTCCCGGGACTCTGGCTCGAGGGTTGATGGGACCTCAATTTCGTTGACAAGTTCTCCCTCTACTAGGTTTATACACCTAATCACAGGTAGGAATACAACCGTGAGACACTTCACTTAAGACAAGGTGAGAAAGTGAATGCAATCTAAGTCTTTACTTGAGCCTTTGAGCTAGATTCAACGCCCTGACCTGTTCACACCGAACCTAATACCATACATGTTCCGACAACATTTTACTGCTGCCTCTGTCGCCCCATATTATGTTTGGCATGAATTAACTTCTTAATCATGACACCCAGCATCTATATAGAATCCTGCAGACATCGTTGCCCATCACTCAGTCGCAGTCGTCACAGAATGCGAGGCAGGCAAACTGGCAGCTGGCCCGTTGCAGAGACTCCTGTCTGCCGGGCCCATTGTAGGCTTCACTTTCGTTAGAAACACGCATGTCTCAAGTGTGTCTCCAAGAAAAAATACTCACTATCGTGGCACTCGACAACGCAGTTATTGCAGGTTCCCTGGAACGGTGCTCCCGTGCAGGCAGCGATGACCGTGGGGGCCACCATGGCCGTGACGAAGAGGAGAGACTTGGTGAAGAGCATTGTTGGTGGTGACTCGATACTTGGGGAGTTCTTAGTTGTGAAAAGAGAGATGAGTGCGTTGAGTCTGGTGTTGTTGTTATGACGGAGTGTAGCGGAACTGAACCTCATACTTATACTTGCTCTGCCCATCGATTCTTCACATGGATTATTCGAAGCCTAGCGAAAAGATCAGTCACATCACAATCAGTCCACAAGTTCGAGGTCTGGCGAAAATTCCTCACATCCGAGTCAAAGGAATACGCATATCTCTTGG